CTTGTGTTTCAGTGGTACGCACTTGCATTTGTTCAATCTATAATACGATAAGTATGTGAACGTAAAGCAACAAACCGAGAAAATTTCTTACCTGCATTTTCGCTTCCATGATAGCAAACAATCGCTCAATGCCAAAAGAAACTCCCACACAGGGTACATCTTGACGCTTTTCTTTCCCTTTAGATCCCGTTGGGCCGATGAAATTTCCTACCAGCTCATCATATCTGGAGATAATATAGTGACGCTAAAACTTGTAACGAGCCATAGGCCTAAGGCATACTTCAGGCGATTTCAGTCGTCGCGCGATCTGGCAATTTTCCAGATCTCTTCATATTCAATACTAGCAGACCCCAAATACACAGCATGCATAACTTTTGCAATTTGACAAAAGGCATTATCTTCCGTAGATTCAGAAACCCCTTACGATGCGTTACGAGCAATTGGAGCGTTGCCAAATCGACTGGAATCGCGCGGGATATGCCTTAGGCCATAGGTGGATGACAAAATTTATAAAATCAACACCAAATTTGGAAATTAGAAAAAATAACACACGCACCTTCCTCCGGCAGCAACTGATCCTACACCAACAGGCAGCCCTTTCTGTTCCTCACCATTTGCTTCTAGACTGACACCTTCCAGAGCTTCTGTAACATATAAGGAGATACTGCATTTTAGGCCGACTTTGGCTATCACAAACTTGGAACAACAGCTTCGTATATAGCACCCGTGTAGTAATCCAACCCTCTTGCCAAAGACGGGTCGAACTTCACCGTTTTGACGCCAAAAAGATTGCAGTAGTTGACAAGTACCCAAAAATCAACCATTAGCATGAATGATGCTGATGACAAAGAGGATGCTCACTTTGAGTTCGTCCACGCCCTTCTTAAACTTCGGATTCTTTGATAGATCTTCAAACTCCATCAGCTTATCCAGAAGGTCAATGCTATCCATGGATGGGTTGAATTCTTGAATTTGGAATAAAAGTCAAAAACATGAGTCTAAGGAAATGCCGAAAAATTCATTATTACCTCTTAATCTAACGAATTGACC